TAAATAAGATAGTCTTATATATATATTATAACCGTCCTTGAACAAGATAAAAATATACAAGAGTCGTAAACCCAATTTTTTAGGTTTACGACTGCTAATATTCAGCTCCTTAGTCTTGTAATTTTGAACCCAATCCAGAAGACAAAGGAACTCCTGGATCAAGGATTGGGAGAAATTTGCCTTCGTGGAGGACTTTTTGGTGTAACTAATCCGGGAAACCATGAAAATATCCCATGGTTAGCCCGACAGCAAAGGAACTCTAACCCATGATCCGTCCACCACCGAGGATATTTTACTCCAGCACTGTGGTCGGTGCAAGTCGGGTGCGGAATTTGAATCGAGTCGAAGCTGGTTTACCTCATTGGAAGGGGAGAGCTCTATCCCCTGAGCCACCACCGCTCCATATTAAAAATTAGAAAAAAGTAATAAGTGCATGATGATTAACTTAATTAGGGTGTTTGAAGTTAGCCAGCTATTGGAAGCATTCATCGCTACGCCGAAATCAGCAATCTGGGTAAAGTTTATTTAGACCAAAACATATTTAACGATATGCTAATTCATATATAATATTATATGAAAAAGGCATATAATATACTGTACTTGTGATTTTCACATTAGTCACACAGTTTCTTACTATGTTTTAAACAAATATTTTCTGTAAGATATAAGAATGTATATATATTGTCGGTAAAATTTTAACTACAGACGCAGCTCGAAAAGCGTGTTTAGGAAAATGGGTTCAGCAAGTTTAAAGTGGCCGTATGTTTGGAAAATATAGCTATATATAGTTTATAGGTCAAAAGTGTAAACAAATAGATGGACAATGTTTTCCGATCTGCTGTGTCACTTCCTGTTGTATAGAACTTGGGGGAAGGGGATGCTTCTGAATTTAGTTATGTTTTGTTCTTCGTAGAGTGATGTATAATTTGTTAATTTTTTTCTTCTTTTTTCAATGAATTTTAGTGTTGTTTTCAAAATAGCTGTGCAGCCTTTCTGAGAGTTGATGCTTTACTTCTACCGTTTAAAAGATAGGTGCGAGTTATTATTTTTTAAGCAAATGAACTCAGCTCAAAATATGCCTTTACGAAAAAGGAAACAGCAGAAGTTTCGTTTTTACGGAAGTGGATACAGCTCGAATTGCGTATTTACCAAAATGGAAACAGCTCAATTAGGACTGAACAATGGGCTATTGGTGACGATCTTGAAAACGGATTTGCTATTGGTGAAGGAACGCCATTGGTGACGGATTTGAAAAACGAAATCTTATGTCATTTCCATTTTCGTAAACCTGCATTTCGAGTTGTGCTCGTTTTCATAAACACACATTTCGTGCTGTGTCCGTTTTCATAAACACAATTTTCGAGCTACTTCCTGTTTCGTAAACAATCATTTCGAGCTGTTTCCATTTTAGTAAACACGCATTTTGATCTGCGTCCATTTTCCTAAACATGCATTTCGAGCTGTGCCCGTTTTCGTAAATACACGTTTCGAGCTACTTCCATTTTCGTAAACATACAATTCGAGCTATTTCCATTTTCATAAGCACGCATTTTTAGCTGTGTCCATTATTGTAAACACGTATTTTGAGATGCGTCAATTTCCTTAAATACGTATTTCGAGCTACGTCCATTTTCGTAAGCACGCATTTTGATCTGCCTTCCTTTGCGTAAACACGCATTTCGAACTGTGTCCGTTTTCGTAAACACATATTTCAAGCTACTTCCATTTTCGTGAACACTCATTTCAAACCATGTCCATTTTCTTAAAACGCGTAATTCGAGCTGTGTTCAGATTTAAAAACTTACTGTCGATATTTTTAAGACATAGTGTTATTTAACTTAAACAATGATAAGGAATCCTATAACTGATGTTTATCATTTCCATAGAAATGCATTCAGAAATATCCATCTGCCTCACTTTTATTTTTCTACAAAGTAGAGTATTTTTTTTGTCATCAATAACGATTAAATATATCATTACCACGTTAACATGGTGTCAAAGTGAAAGTTATTTTCGTCTCAATCATTAAATATTAATTCAGGAGGGGAATTATTAAGCTATGTAATAAAACACTACAGCAAATCGATAAAAACAGAAATAGTATCAAACGTTTCAGTAGAATTTAGAATGTCACTCATGGTCACAAAACTGCTTTTTAAATTTCTTTTATGCACGTAAAAGCATTTGTTTTCACATTTTAATTGACTTCGAATTATAAAGCGTTTAGTTTTCAATTTTATACTTACATGCATTTAGTTATTTATTTTTTAATAAATCTTGTTTCAAGTTTCAAATCAGTTTGAACAATTAGTTTTTTGAAGAAATAATAATAGTTTTGATATTACAAACTAATATTACGATTACGTGTTACTGGGTTAATATGCATTAATATATTTAACTAAACGGCTCCATCTTCTGCTCGCTCAGCTCAACTCCCCCCTCACGAATGTTTAACAATGATTGAAAGATTAATTTTTTTGTTCATAAACAGATTACAACATCAAAAACAAAATTTATTCCATTCATGGAACCCCACAATTTTTATTGCATTAACACAGATTTGGCTCCACTACGCTGAAGAAAAAAAAGTTTGATAAAAAGTGCTCGTATTTGACCTAATTTACTGTGCTTCTGCCTCTATGGGAACACCAAAGAGCACGGTAATTTTCATTGAAGAGCTTTGGTAACGATTTTAAAAAAATTAGACAATAAAATATTGTTTTAAAATAAGTGATAAAATTTAGAAAATGTGTTAAAACTTCAATACTTTTTCATGATAGCGTAGGATAGAAACCATTTATTTGTTTAACTTTACTTTTTAGTTTTGTATTTTTTACTACGTGTGTGGTTTAGAAGAACTATAATTTCGAAAACCAGAATTTCCGGTAAACCGTTACAATATGAGCGGAAAAATTATCAAATGCGTTGTTAAAATACAGTATAATTTCATTTTATTACTGGAATTGAGTTTTTTTTTTACCGGAAATGTTTTTACCTAAAATGCGGTAATTCTACCAGAACTTTTTCTCAGAGTAGAAATCATCTATCTAACTTTAGAAGTTCCAGGTTGCTCAACTTTATTATTCGATTCTATAGGGATAAAATTTAAACCTAATTTTGTTTGATTATCGTTTAGTCACCATCTTGGTTTTTAAATGTTTGTTTAAATTTTTTTATCAAATAAATTATAAAATTTTTTTTGCAAGGAGATAATTTTGCAGTTGTCTGAAAATTGAATTCTTAATATTGCATTCGAATTTTAAGCATTTATTTTGCATTCATTGCTTTACTGCATTCGTTGACCTATCATAGTGTCACATAAATTTACTGTGAAAATAACTATAACTTATTTACATCTTATTTATTAGTTTCTTACTAAATCTAATATAATATCTTTCTAAGTACCTATAATGCAAAAAGTTGTGCAGTTAGGAAGCATTATACAATTTCTTTAGCATATAGAAAAAGAACAGAAATTTTTGTTTCAAGCCTTTAATTTTGCTTAATAGTGAAAATCAAAGAAACGTAATAATGCTGCATTATGTACAAAAGGAAACCAATCATCCGAAAAACGAGGAAATAATGCCATCAAAAGAAGAGCAATTGCTTGTGCAATATTTATCTGCTCATATTGCCTGATTTCCAACGGATCTCCCCAGAGTTTGAACTCGTCACCTTCGGACTATTTTCTATGGAGATATTTTAAAAATGCCTGGTACGTTGATTTCCAGACATCTAATGTCGAACTTAAGGCTAAAATTGAACAAGAGATCAAAAATGTTTTCCCACATTCATTCTTCTATTCGATAATCTTGCTAAACGTGCCTAATTTGTAATTAACAAACAGCAAGAATTCAACATTTCTTGTCATTTGTGTTTAATGAACATTCCATTTATTCTTTGCCCACGTTGTCAGAAATTTCTCGGAAGAAAAGGTTAAACAACAATTTATTCGATTTTTATTTCACCATATTCAAACAAAGTAGTCAGATAAGCATAAATAAGATAGTCTTATAAGATGGATAAGAGAGTAAAACCGTTTTTTAACTGCTTTCACCGAATACGGTTAAACAACCAGACTTTTATCGCACCAAATAAATCCACCTAATGAAGAAGCTTAGTTTCTTGCAACTAGGGACGCATCACAGCAGAGAGGGCTAATCTGTCGGTCTCGTGATCGACAGAACTGGGTTTCGAGTACCAGTGTTGAAATTACAATTTTCTTCCATTCCCTTCCACAAAGAGTTTCCAGTGTCCAGCACTCACCAATGCCCATTTCCAAACTTTAGCTTCAATGTCCAGTTAAATTTCTTCTCTTATGGTTTTGAAACCATGCCGTATAGTTTAGTATTCATGGTTTTATAACCATACTAGCTGTAAACGGTTTCAAAACCGTAAAGATTAAAAATGTTCTTTACTGTAAACTTTTTAGTTATTGGATGGACAGACATAATGCCGGTCGCTTTGCAATAATTTTAGCGCTTAAATTCTAACAGTGCGTATTTTGCTTTTCTGGATTTCATTTTATTAACATTGGCACCAGAGGCATTGATATGTTATGGGAACATGGAGGACTTTTGCGACTCGACAAATTTAACGTGCATCAGTCACTTTGCTACACGGGGAGACTTCGGCCGGCAGCTTTCGAACCCACGAACTCTCGGACATGGGCCCAGCGCCCTACCGACCAGGCTATCCCGGCAAAAAAATTTAAAAGTTTGCGCGTAAATTACGCCTCAAAAAATGGAACGTGATTTGGCAGAAAACAAATTTATAATGCAAAAGAGTAAAACAAAAGGTGTGTTTGTGGTAGATATTTTTTAAGAAAAATTGGTGTAAATGTTATGAACCACATGTTGCAAAAATGTATGATACAACTTAAAATTGATTTTTTTTGTTTGAATCAAAGATTGGAACCAAAAAAAATTCATAAAAATGTGTCTTAGCTTGAAAACAAGCTAAGGTTTATTGTTATACCTAAAAATACTGTAAATCAGACTGTAGATTCTAGTAGTACATATCTGTAGATTCTAATAGTATATCTCTGTAGATTGTCTAATCTGTATATTGTATAACTGTTAATTGATAATCTGTAGATAGTATATCTGACTAAAAATTTCAACCCGGGTCACCACATTGGAACGGAGCTCTCTATTCTCAGAGCTATTACGTCTCTTATGAGTTGTATTGGGAAAAATATATTTAATTTATAATTTATTATTTTTAGTGTAATACATTAGCTACTAAATTTAATATATTCTTTAAAAGACTCTACTTAAAAATCGCTATGTTTAAATGATACAATAATTTATAATGACTATTTTTTACGGACTAAAACTGACAAAACGGGTACTGAAATGAAATACAGGATGTGTGGGGTGCACCTAAAATACTTTTTTAATCAGAGCGTGACTGCCTTGAAGATTCACACGCCAATAGTTTCACGACTCTGCAGTTGTAGTGGTTACCAAGTTCAGTGAGACATTGAAAATCTATTGTATTGCTAATCAATAACCTTTTCTAGGTTTTCTCCCATTTAAAGATTTGGTTCATGGGTTTCGACTCAAACAATGTACAGCGGAAGTTACTAAGGCTTTACTTTTCTATAAAATACTTAGCTTTCGAGTAAATATTAATAGAGGCGGAAGAACTAAGAGTTACAAATTTGTGAGAAATATTTTAATTTATATTTATTTATTGAAAATTATATTAAATTTTTATAGCCCCAGACAGGTCATTACACTTATGCACTCATTATACTTTTGAGTTTATTAATGTCAGCTTTTTAAAACAGAAATGGGTGCGAGATAAGGGTAGGAAAAATAGCTTGGATTTTATATTAACTATGCTCAAAAATTTTTTATTGCTTATAGCATTAGATCGTACTATTAGATCTTCTTTTTTATATTAGATCTTGAGATTATGTTATTGTTTTATTAATTTTAAAATTCATACTAGCAACAAAATGGCTCACAGAGCAAAACATAACTTTGGTGATGATTCATGCATTTTTGGGCATGTTTAAATGAGGCTGATTGGCTCCTAATTGGTAAATCAGTATATTAAAAATCAGGAAAATTCGAAAACAGGTAAGCAGTTGCAAATAGCAGGACATTTTATCCAATGAACACCCACCCTAGAATAAATTAGATGCAAAGAAATTTAATGGTAAATTTTCCTCAATTTTATAAATATCAGCATCATTGTTTTTTTTCTTTCTTTTTTTAAAAAACTATCTATATATTTTATACCGATTATGAGAAGAAAGAAGGTTTATTTAGAAATGTTAAAATGAAAAAACTTTCTTCTCTTGATGTAGTCTTGGATAGTTTTAGTCTAGATTTATATAAAATTTTGAAATATTTGCAATACATTCAGAAAATGCCTGTATTTTTGTCATAAAGATTGATTTTTTTATTATTATTTTAATCATAAAATGTGTTTATACACGTACAAAGTAATTCGGCAAAAATTATCGTGTTTCATAATAATGATATTTCTGGTTTAAAAAAATTAATTAAATAAACCCCTAATTCTGGTTAATAATACCAAAATATACGTATTTAAACCATTTATAAGTTAATTTTTCTCTTCCGTAATATGGCAACGGTTTTCATGAAATTCTGACTTTCAAAACTATAGTTCTTATTACCACGCATTTAGTAAAAAATACAAAATTAAAGAGTTAGTTTAACCGCATATATGGCTCTTAAACCGTATATATATGGTTCTTATGTCCGAATATATGGTTCAAAATAATCATCAAAGCTCTTAGGTGTAAAATTATCGAGATTTTTGGTGTTCCCATAAAACCAGAAATACGGTTAAGTTTATCATATTCAGATTGTTTTTACAATACTTTTTTATCCCAGTCTACAAAAACGATTCGGTTTCTGAAATGTTGCCGCTTTAAAAAATTTACTGTTTTTTGTATTAATAATTGTATACTTTTTTTTTATCAATAAATTTATGCTTATAATTAAAATGTAACATTTGAAAAAATAAATAAACAAAATTTATAATTTTATTGAGACGAGTATTGATCAACTTATTCGACGAGAGTTAAGTTGTCACCTGCTGAATCAGCTAACTCTTCAGACGATTTTATCATGCAAGACTAGACTTGCTGAATTTGCTCTTTCTTTCAAGAAAATCTTCCCCATGAAAAATTATAGTTCTTTCGTGTTTATTGTTTGCTGCATCATGTACTTTCCATTTTATTCGTCTAACCATTAGAACAAATTTTTACGAAAATATTTCTTAGTTAGTGAAATAAAATTTCTCAAAAGTGCGGAAATTATTAGAAATAAATGGCGTGTTGTATTTTGAAAAAGTTGAATTATTTATGTTATTTCAATATGAATTTGATATAATAAATTTTTATGGAATATTTTTGCATACAAACATTTAATGTAGAGAATGTTTTCGACATTAAATGTTTGTTGTCAAAAAAACTAATCCAGTTCCTCAGAAATGTTTAAAAATCTACATATTTGAATTAACTATATGCGAAATATTTTTATTATAGTCTAACTTATAAAAATATGCACTGTAAACAATACAATTGGCATTATAATTAAATTAAAAAATAAAATAAAATATAAAATGATAAAAATAAAATATTAAATAATAGGAAATAAAATATAAAATAATAAAAAGTAAAATATTAAACAGTAAGAAATAAAGTATAAAATAATAAAAACAAAATATAAAATAGTGGGGAAAAATAAAATAATAAAAAATAAATATAAAATAATATTAAATAATATAAATAAATTTCAATAAATATAAATTAATATAAATAAAAATATAACTGACATTCTATTGAAAAATAAAAGGTTTGACGACACTGTAATTACAAAATAATAGGTGCACTGTAAAATTTTCGGATCAAATTACGGTAAAAAGTATCGGCATTCAGTGTGCCAGTACTTTTCACCTTGAAATTTATATTTACTGAAATATGGTACGGAAAAAAATTCTAATATACCATAACTTTTGTAGTAATACTTTCCGTTACATCACTGTATCACTCTAATCAAATCAATAATACTGTAAAAATTACAGTATAATAATTTACGGTAGAAACAGGTTTTTACGTCAAAATGGATTTATTGAGTTATGATTAGTTTCAATGAATTTTTAAACACCAATAAAACATTGATCTTACCTTGAAAGTAATGGCACCATTTTTGTTCGGATCAAAAGTTCTGAAGACGTAGTGTGCATAAAGGCTTGAATCTAAAAATGATTAAAATAATTAAGTATGAATTAAATAAGATTTATAAATTATTTTAACAGTAAAACGTTATGTGCGCAAGGGCTTGAATCTGTGAATTAAAAATTTAAGTGTTAAATAAATAAGATTTATAAATTATTTTAATAGTAGAACGCGATCTGCATGAAGGCTTAATTCTAAAAATGAATAAGGAAATTAAATATTAATTAAATAAGATTTATATGTTATTTTAATAGTAAAACGTAATGTGCATATAGGCATGAATAAAAAATTAAACAATTTTTAGATAATTTTAGCAATAAAATTAAGGGGTATTAAAAATTTTTGTATGTAGAGGAAAATAAATAATGAAACGTATTTTGAAAATTAAAAGAAAAATAAATAGGTAAACACCAAACAATTTTTGAAGATCCCGAAAACGAATATATTTTTTATTTAATTATTAAAAATAGGACCAGAAATAATTAGAAATGGGTTTTCCAATTTGTAAAAAAGAACGCCTGAAAGCAGCTTTTAATTTTTGCACGAAGAAAAAGAAAAGCATGGTTAAAACTGCTATAATAAGAGTATAATCTACCCTGTTTTTTGGCTCCATGGGAACACCAAAAATCACAGTAATTTTTTCCAAAGCTCTCTGGTAAAGATTCGGATAAAATGAGTAATAAAATAAAGTTTTATAATATCTGTTAAAATTTGGCAAATTTAATAAAATTTGGTAATTTTAACTTGATACTGAAGAGCAAAGAATATAGACAGGGATAACATGTATATTCTTTGCCGTAGAGTATGGCATAAAAACCATCTATTGCGTTATATTCGCGTTTGAGTTATGTATTTGTTTCTGAATTTCCACTAAGCCGATACCAATTGAACAGAAAAATTGCCAAGTGTATAGTTTGAAAAACTATATATTTTGGTTTTTAATGCAAGAATAAGGTTGTTGTTTTTTAATTCGAAGTATCATTACTACACAGTAAAATAATTTTACAGAATTTTCTTCTTCTAATAGAATCGTTTTGTCTTATTACTACTGATAATGGTAGTAATAAGTAGTAATAATTTTAAATAATAAAGGCTTCCTGATCTTGTTTAACAAATTTTAATTATAATTATCTTTTTTTATACTTTAAAACTTGGCAGCAAAATTTGGAAAAAAGGATTTTTCGTCTGGCACCAACTTTCTGATAAATACGAAACATGTCTATTAAGCTAACGAATCAAATTAAAATAATATATATAATAGCCTCTAATTATAAACATCAGTTTATCGGTCATTAAATTTTAATAGCTACAATTAGAACATTTACTATTTAAATTATTAAATAAAACTTGTTATTCAATAAGTTGAATTAAACTTCCTTCATGAAAGTTTACATTTCGTAACTAACTCAAAAATTTACATTGGGAGAATTCTCCATATTGTTAATTATTTTTCTGTGGCATTTAAATGACATTATTATCTAATAATTGTTACAATGTGAACGTTTACTATTTAAATTATAAAATAACACTTGTTATTCAATGAATTAAATTTTTTTTGATTAAAGTTTACATTTCTTAACTAACTTCAATTTAATAATGGGAGTATCTTCCATATTATTAATTACCTACCTATGGCATTTAAAAGACATTATTAACTATTAATAGTTACAATGTGAACGCTTACTATTTAAATTATTAAATAACATTTGTTATTAAATATGTTAAATTAAATTTTCTCCGTGAAAGTTTACATTTCTTAATTTCAATTTCATATTTGGAATACCTTTCATATTATTAATTTTTTATCTATAGCACTGAAATGACATTATCAATTATCAATTATTAATAATACAGTAATTTCTTAACTAAATTCAATTTCAAAAAAGGAGTATCCACCATACCATTAATTATCTAACTATGGCATTAAAATGACATTATTAAAATGACATTACTCAAACCTCAACATCCTCCCCACCCTGGTCGACCTCGAGGGGGATGACCAGAGCTACCGGACGGGTTATATTGTGACCATTAACTCTCAGCTCACAGGATCTTATTTTTCCATCTCGTCCTTCATGCAAGTTCACCACTCTAGCTTTCTTCCACATGTGATGTGGTCGGACATCTTCTTGTAGAAGTACAATATCGCCAATTCGGATGTTAATGATATTGTCCTGATTACGAACTTGATGAAATGACCGCAATTCCCACCAGCCTCCCCACCAAGCCGCTCGTGAGGCGATAAATTTCCAAGTTATGCCATTTTGGGCATAATATTGCTGAGTTTTAGCTGATGACAGAACTTGCCATAGCAGAATCAAGTCCTTATTTGCTGCATGAAAAGTGGTAGCATTGTCGGTATGGATTGTGTGTGGGAGTCCTCTGCGACCAGCAAAACGTTGTAGTGCCAAAAGAAATTTGTCTGTGGTAAGATCCGACACAAGTTCGATGTGTAATGCACGTGTTGTTGCACAAGTAAATAGTGTTATGTAGGCTGTGTCTCTTGATTTCAAACATCGAATATTCACGGGTCCAGCAAAATCAATTCCTGTGGTAGTAAATGGAGCAGAAGGTACAACTCTTTCAGGAGGTAAAGGAGCTTCGATTTGTTTTCCGTATTTCGCTTTGGACAGCTTGCAAGGTAGGCATTTGTGAATAACTTGCTTTATAGCTTGACGTCCTCTTAAAATCCAGAAGGTTGAACGTAACTCGGACAGGATTATACGCACACCTAA